TCATTACTTCCACTGCAATCTTAAAAAAAAAACTTTCCTGAGCTATTTGATCTTCAAAAAGCTTAAGTACCAACACAAACCCGTCTCTGGTTTTACAAAGATTTTGGTTTTATGAATCTCAGAAGAAAACACGCCTTTAACAGAACATTTTAACAATTTAAATTCAAATAAAAGGATATTTTTCAACAGTAACATTTGATAATGTAGCCTTGAAAATGACAATATTAAAAGCAAACCAATAAAACTGACATTTAATTGAGTTCTTAGATGATTTTTTCCTAAACTTAACAGCAAAGTAATTCAATTTCTAACTAAATTTAGAAGTTAAATTACTCAAACAAAATGTCTCATTACCTTAAACTTATGAAAAAGTTTAACTTTATAATTTTAGGATGGGCAGGTGTGTTATTGGAACATATAATGCAGTTTCCCCCCCTATAATTCATATTTTGGGTGGGTTTCTGCCCAGTTGGGTTTCTTTTGAATATGTTGGGCTGTCAAAATTCAGGCTGCTTTTCACCACATTTGGACCTCTTTTTTTTTTTACAATATATTTACAGGAAATAATATTGGTCAATGTCATGTAAATAAAGAAGAAATCCTGAGGACCCCCACTTTCTGCCAAACAATCTGAGGGCTATTAGTTGACTTGTGGTGTGCACTTTAAATATGTTTCTTTATTTACAAACAATCACTTTAAATCTCTCTCTAACCCTGTCTTTTCAGAGCTATAATAAAAAAATGTAAATACAATATGTGATTCAATGTGCTAATTGCATATCTTTATTAGTTATTATGTGCGTACTATAATATATTCTAATAATAATAATGATAATAGCCCCCTCTACACTCATGGGTCCAGTATGGAGACTGAAAGCACAGGTTTTGACCTCCTTGACACGCCCCCTCAGATTGCAGTCATGCTTTGAGTGCTATGAAAGAAAATTCTGAATTATTTAGAAAACTCATTCATTTTATTGGTTTTTAAATTATATAAAAAATCCATTCTTATCCAAAAAGGTGATGCGTTCTTCAGTATAAAATAATCTGTGATCAACCTTGTGGTCTTCACTCATCAGAATTATTTCAGCCTGACTTAGCTGCTCATTATAAGCCAGGTTTAGTCGTGAAACAGACTCAGACGCTCATACATGGTTTAGCCAAGGCCAGATTTCATATTTCATCCTGGATCATTCCTGTTTACTTTTATAAAACAGCCTCCAAAGTCCAACAGGTGGGCAGGTAATGATATCAAAAGTGACCAAAACGGGCATCTGGCTACATAAATGACCAAAAAAATAAAGCATTACTGAACAAGAGAACTGCTCTTTCCACGAAGCACAAGTTGTTGTTTTGTCATTAGATGCTACACTTCCAATCACGAACAGCAACAGTTTCTGCATGATAACATTGAGATATGTAGGCATTGTGTGGCGTTTTACACTCAGAACACATCTGTTTGAACAAAACACAAACTTGCTCATTAAATAGTTTGATGTTTTTTTGGTGTCCAATTACTTTTAAAACTTTTTTCAAACTAACATTTGGAGCCACAGATATGAACTAACACATCACTACTGGTTAAAGATCATTAGCCAGGCCTGATTGTTTCCTCATGCGTCATTTACACGTCTGTGAAGATCTTCTTGATGTTCACGCAGTTCTGGTTGCTCTCCGTGGTGCAGTTGGGCTCTTTAAAGGCGCTGTTGATGCCCTCCACTATCACCATGTACTCCGACTTGCTGAGGGACGAGGAGCTGCAGGACCTCCTCAGCTCCTCGGTGGTGGGGAGGTGCTCGCAGCTGCCCGTGTTCAGGTACTGCTGGTGCTCCTCGCCGTCCGTCTCCCGGTGGTAAAAGTAGTTGAAGTTGGACACGATCACCGGCACGGGCAAGGCAATGGTCAACACGCCCGCTATGGCGCACAGCGACCCCACTATTTTGCCCCCGATGGTGACCGGGTGCATGTCCCCGTACCCGACCGTGGTCATGGTCACGACCGCCCACCAAAACGCGTCGGGGATGCTGGTGAAACTGGACGAGGGGTCGTCCGCCTCTGCGAAGTACACCGCGCTGGAGAAGAGGATGACCCCGATGAAGAGAAAGAATATGAGCAAGCCCAGCTCCCTCATGCTCGCCTTGAGCGTCTGTCCCAAAATCTGGAGTCCCTTTGAGTGGCGCGAGAGCTTAAAGATGCGAAAGACCCTCACCAGCCTGATCACCCGCAGGATGGCGAGGGACATCGCCTGCTGGCCGCCGTTGGTTTGCCTCTCGGCCAGCTCCGTCCCCAGGGTGATGAAGTAGGGGATTATGGCAACAATGTCAATGATGTTCATAATGTTTTTGGAGAAAGTGGTTTTGCTGGGGCAGGCGAAGAACCGAACCAGCAACTCAAAGGAAAACCAAATAATACACAAGGTTTCTATCACAAAGAAGGGGTCTGTGAAGGGGCTTGGGACGTAGGGCGCAGTGCCATTAACTGTTGGTGCCACTGTGGCGACGTCTTTCTCATCCCGGAATTCAGGCAGAGTCTCCATGCAAAAAATAACAATTGAAATCAGTATAACGAGGACTGACACGATGGCTATCCCTCTCGCTGGTCCGGAGCTTTCTGGATACTCAAACAAAAGCCAAACCTGCTTTTGAAAATCGTTTTTGGGCAGTACGCGCTCCTCCTCTTTTATAAACCCTTCATCCTCGCGGAATTTCTCCATGGCCTCCTCCCCGAGTTGGTAAAACTTAATCTCCTCTGAGAAAATATCAATGGGGACATTAACTGGTCTCCGGATGCGCCCTCCGGACTGGTAGTAGTAAAGGATGGCATCAAAGCTGGGTCTGTTCCTGTCGAAGAAGTACTCGTTCCTGAGTGGATCAAAGTAGCGCATCCTCTTCCTGGGGTCTCCCAGCAGCGTCTCTGGGAACTGGTTGAAAGTTTTCAGCTGCGTCTCGAAGCGCAAGCCGGAGATGTTGATGACCACCCTCTCGCAGCATCCCCGGCGGCTGCGCTCGTATCGCTCCGCCGACAGGTGAGGCGCGGAGAGCGCGGCTGTCTCCTCCAGCATGTTTTCCACCGTCATGACGTCCCTCCCCGCCTCTCCATAGCCCCGGCTGTCAGTCCCGTTCTTGCTCCTGTGCTTGGCTGGTGAGGGCGCCTGGATATCGCTGGAGGTATGCTGCTCATCCATACAGGTGGTTTTTTTTCCCCTCCCGGTGTTGTGGGGCGCGCAGAGAGTGCGCCGCGTCACTCCCAGCCAAAGCTCCCAGCTTTGGAGAGCTGAGGCGGGCGCCACTCTACATCTCCTCTAACCATCAACAACCTCTGCGCGTGCACACGGTGAAGCGCTTCACTCCCCCTCTGTCTTTTTTCTTCTTTTTTTTTTCTTCCTTTGTCAAATACACCAACACCCGCCCCCGGCGCGCATATGTCTGACAGACGTCCACCAGCCGCCCAATTAGAAATTAACTAGACACAAAAGAAGCCAGAAACACAAACACTTGACGGAGTCATCCTCACGTGCGGCGCCTTTATCATGTTGTTACGTCAAACGAGGCCAAAGCGCAAACATGAAACCAGAACATTTGCTGTGTTTAAATATCGAACATGACAAATTAAAAGAAATGCACATCGCCCGCCGCCTTTCATGTCAGGTCATCTATTTAGCCATTTTGGGCAAACCTGGAAAATAATGTGCACAATCACACTCATTTTCTCACGTGGTCAGCCTTTAGTGCATGTGTTGTGAAAGACTGTCTTCTGTTACTATACGAATTTCAGTATCTCGGACATTGACTGACTTACCTATTTTCCTGGCTCTGGTTGCCATCTTAAATTAGACTGACTCCAAAATGTAATTGGTTTGAGAGGTGTACACATTAATTAATTTCTGAGAGTTTCATTAAAATCCATTTAGTGGATCTTGAGTTATTTTGCTAACAGACAGACAAAGCTTACGTCAAGAGTTAATGATCAATTTTAAAAAGACACTTTGCTCAGTCTGTGAGTTTTTAAATGATGCTTGGGGGATCAGTCTCATCTACCACCATACATAATTTTGGCTCAGTAGCGTGAAAAATGTCTGAGTTATATCCACGTTCAAGTTTTCTAAAATCAGTTGAGTGTTGCATCCTTCTTAAATCAGGTTAAGCCCAAAAGTTAATCAGTTGTAGAGGTACATCCAGTGTTTGGTTTCTGAAAGTGTTATTACAATATGTTCAGTGGTTCATGAAATATTCTGCTAACAGACAAACACACTGAAAAAAATGAAAACAAACAAAACATTATTCATCATTCTTCAGCGGCGGGCGATAATTATCACCCCACCCTCCCAGAAGCATGAATATGAGCAGCGTATTCTCACGCTTGTTCTTTTGTTTCGTGTTTCTTTGTTGTTGTTGTTGTTGTTGAGGGGGTGTTGCTCTCCATGGTGCTGAAAACAAACCCACACCCTCTCTCTCCTCAGCAGCAGCGGCGAGTTCAGCTCAGCTGCTCGGCTCGTGTTTGTGTTCGTGTAAAGATGCAGCTTATTTAAAAAACAACAACACACACACACACACACACACACACACACACACACACANCACACACACACACACACACACACACACACACACACACACACACACAAGCTGTGAAACAAGTCGTAATATTTCCACTCAGGAAAACACTTGGCTGTTATGTAAAGAAGCGTGAGCAGTGTCAGCTGAAGCTGAGATTAATGAGGGGAAAAAAGTGAAATCAGAGTGATTTATGCTTTATTATTTATTGTGACAAGCCTCATCAAACAAGCCTTTCAATGCCTGTGGTGACGGATGACGTCCACATGAAAGGCTGCAGAGTCACTTCTTTCATTTTCATTACTGCACTATTCATTTTGATACACCAACATACTCAAAATCTATTTAAAGTTCATGACACTGAGAACAAAATGCATATAGTGTATACAGTATATCATGACTCACCAGCAAAGGTGAAAGGATGATGATGCCTTTGCTTATCTCTGCCTTATTATCTAATGGACAGTTGGACAGATTYAATCATTTTGTAAAGCAAAAACATGTCTTAAACTTTCTAATTTTTACCGAGAATGAGCTTAAATATGGCGAGGTAGTAGCTAATCGACGACAGATAACCAACTTAATTGCACATTTGTGCCTAAAACTTTGCAATTAACTGTTCATCATTTGTCTGTGAGCAAAATATTTCACAAACTACACAACTGATTAAATTCAAACTCTCAGAGATTGATCTTTGGGTGTAGATCTGAAAAACTTTTGGAGCCAATTTAAATCAAGATAGCTACAGCAGCTATTTATGGAAGAGGGTTAGGGCCACTGAAAAAGAAACAAATTCTGACTTTAATCTCAGAATTCTGAGAAAAAATTCAGAATTCTTTTCTTTAATTTTTTTCATTGGCCCTAATCCTCTTCCGTAGATATTCAGCATTAGCAAAATATTCCTCCACTTTTACATGTGTTGAGTTAAAACTCACTGAAGTGTTTCTGTTTGACTTTTTGTGACATCTCATGTAGAATTACAAGATGTCACTCAGAGATTATCAGACTCATTTTATTTTTCCTAACACGTATCATAAATTAAACTTAGAGCCTGGATTTGCAGTTTGTTTGTCATCTAAATATTAGACATGGTATAATTAATTAACCTTTATTTGACCAGGGAAATCCCACTGAGATGCAACACACACACACACAAGCCACAGGTCCAAAACGGAGTAAACTTGTGTACAATGAAAATACAAAGCAAAATAAAAAGAGAACACAAACTGTTCACAAATAATAAACAAATAAACAACTCAGCTCTGACAATTATTTAATCGTTTTTTGTTATTCTTTGAAGCACATTGCGACACCCAGACCAGAACACACAAACTCAAAAAGCCAACGTTCACACCACTCTGTATAAAAACAACCTCCCACTTCTCACAGTTAGCATGCAGGAACGGCGCCGCCAATATTTTCAGTCCTGAGGGTCTCCCTCTATCTTTCATGATTTATATTCTTCTCACTCTGGTTTTGCATCGGTTTTGTCTTCTCGCTGCGGCCCAACAGTTAGGTGACCTTTTCCTCTGCTAACTTAGATCCGAGACTGTCCCAATCACTCACCCAGACTTTCCCTCCGACTCTTCCCAATCCATCCTCCCTAATGATGCTGCGGGATCTAAAAGGGCATTTTACTTTACACCAGCTTAATGAAGTAATTCTCTGGCGGCAGCAGCGGTTTGATGGCTCAGCTGACAGTGTTGTCACAGTGGAAAGCTGTAATTTTAGCACCAAACATAAACACAGTGACTCAGAGTGGGTAGAGCAACTGATGTGGTAGTAAAATCGGGACAAAATAAGCTGAGGGAGGTGGGGGGAAATGATATTACCTGGCGTTTACCTGAGAAAACCCTCACCTGTTTCAAGTTTTACCATATTCCTGAGCAAAACTAGCAATTTAATAAATGAAAGCGCGTATTGAAAAACAAATGAGACAGTTCTGGTTGTGCAGAACTAGTTGCAATGCTTTTAAAAGCAGTCATTTCAGGTGACACGTCTGTGTGTCAGTGCATAGATGAATGGAAATGAAACTGTCAAAGTCATCACTGGCTGTACAACTGTGGTTAATTATGTAAAAACATTTTTTTCAATGGATCATCTTCTACGTTTTAGTTTTTAAAGTCAAAAAGTGGAGCACATCATACAGACATTTAGGCTAATGCACCTCAAATCACTGTCAACACAACCCACTTCCTGTTAAAAACGCAAACTTAAAATTTGTCATTTAAAATTACCCAAGGTGAGGGGGGGAGTTGTCATTTTCAGCAACCTCCCAGTGGTTTCAAATCAGTAAGCAAGGGAGGTTTTGTCTGGGTTCTCATCACCATGGCAACAAAACATCAAGTGTTTTGTAAAGAGAAAAGGAGATAAGTTGAAGAAGTTACATAATTTCCGGTCCGACTCGTGCGAGAGCGAGAATATGGGAGACTGGCTTTTCCCACGTTCCTCGCTGAAGCGTGAACACGTTGCATATGGAGAGGAGAAGGAAAGCGCCATTTTGTGTGTGTGTGTGTGTGTGTGTGTGTGTGTGTGTGTGTGTGTGTGTGTGTGTGTGTGTGTGTGTGTGTGTGTGT